GCAGTGAATGATTCAAAGGAGTTCATCCAGCCCGTGGCTGAAAGAAACCAGGGTATTTTCTTTTTTAAAAAGCTACCTAATTCTAAAAATAAGATTCACTTTTAGATTTTGTACAGTTAAGTAAATAATTTGTTCTGATTTCTCTGGTCCTTGAGAGCTACAGTAGGGGGCATTTAGATTTTAGCTCCAATTATCCAAAAATTGTTTAATTGAATGATTCAAGATCTTAATTGAAGGCAGCACAGTGGCACTGTGGTTCCTTTCCTGGGATCCTAGCTGTGTGGAGTTTCTATGTTCCCCTCGTGTTCATGAGGGTTTCGTCCTGGTGTCCCATTTTCTCCCACAGTCCAAAGGCACAGTGGAAAATTCGGGGAAAATTGTTCCCTGGTGTGAGTGTGTATGTACAGTATGGTATGTACTGTATGTGTTTGACTGTGTGTGCCCTGTGATGGACTGGCGTCCTGTCCAGAGCGTATCCTGCTTGGATTGATGGATAGGACTTTAGAAAGAACAATGAGATAATGGGGACATGCCACAGGCCCCAGCACTGCGAAGCCGCAATTCTAACCACTGTGCAACGATGCTGTCCAGTAACGAAACTGATACACTAAAGTTAACTGGCATTTAACTAAGATACAATTTCCCAATTTCAGGTTGAGCATTTTACAGATATCCCAAAACACCCCACCTTTTTAACAAAATGAAAAATAATGTTTAGACGGCAAAACAAGAACACTCTTAGTTTAATTAAGGATTCAATTAGGTAATTGAAAACTCCAGGGGAAAACTCAATTTAAATAAAGATACAGGCACTCCATAAACAGAGAAGTGACACAGAAGTGAAAATATCTACTTTTTTCAGAATGAGCATACTGTTTTCTTTTGAATTGGTATTACCTCAGTAAAAGAGCATAATTCTTAGTACTATAGTTACGTCATTCAAATATGATGATGAAATAATCTGATAAAATGCTATGACTTTTAATAATTAAATCAAACGATGGCTTCACTTAATGTTTTGTTAAAAAAAAAACATCTAGCCTCCATAATGCATCTTCTACCTAGTAGAATTTGCTGAAACAAAACAAGAATTATCCATACTTAACTGACATAATTATAATACAGTAAAAATAAAGATATATTGATCATTATTAGCACTAATGACTTGCACTGCTCTAAAGTTATGTAATTTCCCTGAATGGAGTGGCAGGCTTCTGCTTCAGCCTCCATTTTGGCATTTAATTAATCCTGAGATATTTTGTTCAAATTCAAAAGCAAAACCCGGTAACATTATAAAAAAGCACTTGAACCAATGTTTTTATTATAATCTAATCAATAGTATAATTTAAAAAAATAATACAATTTAATTTTGAAATTATTTCATTATAAACTGGGGAGATCCTTCAATCTGCCATTTTCTGTTGATTACAGGACACATCCACAAGAGGGCACTAAAGCACTACTGACTTACTCATACAACACGATTTTATGGCAAGAAACAAAATATATTTTCAAAAGAAACAAACATCTAGCTTTTCATCAGATAATGAAAAACAAGTGAAGTGAAAGAAAGGAACGTTTCTGACAAAGGAACAACTCGGACATCCTACTGGCTACCAATCTATTTTCATCATCTTATCTCTTAACAGGTGGACGTTTAGGGGTTCAAAGTCAGGGTTTGGGATTTGGGATTTGCTAGATTTTAAATAATAATAATAGGGCTGTAGTCAAATAAAATCAGATTTCAGGGTTCCGGCAAGGAAAACGTTCTCACCTGAGCAGTTTCTTCAGTTCTGAAATGTTACTTGATTGCAATTCGTGCGTGAACATTTGTATTAAGGAAACACAATAGAATCATTTTTAACTAGAGTGCATATTCCATGGTACTATTGGCTTCACTGATGCTTAAAAAAACAAACAAAACATTTTGAAAGGCATAAGTAATGGTTAGCACTCTCTTAAAAAAACACTTACAGTACACATTGATATGTGTTATAAAAATGATTTATGAAATTCTTCAAAGGGTTCAAGAAAACTACTTCCTATCTATTATAACCTATTATAACCATGTGCTAAAATGTCTTGTCTGCAGTTTTCTCAAAGTCTTTTAGACCCTGCTCAGGCAATCTGCACAAACTCAACATGTGTTGATACAGAATGAAACACAAAAGGAACAAGTGCTAATGGAACTGAGAAGTTTCTTTGGACTTTCTGCACGTTGTTTTCATTTAAATTAAACACTTCTCAGTTCCTTCATCAAAGGTTAGGTGTACAATGCTTCCGTAGCAAAAACAGTGACTCTTCATTGTTCTACTTATAAAACAACTAGAGGTGAAGTAACACAGTGGTTAGCATTGTTGTCTCACAGTGCTCGGGCCCTGGGCTCTGTGGTACTATCTGCATTAAGTTTGTGTGTTTTCTCTGTGTTTGGGGTTTGTCCAGGTGCTGCGGTTTCCTCCCACAGCCCAAAGGTTAATTGGCTTCTGGGGAAATTACCCTGGAGTGTGTCACGCCCCACACTCTACCTCGGATACGCCGTTCTGTCCCTGTCACATTCCACACTCTCCCTCGCAAACGACGTTACATTCCCGGAACCTCTGCTTCACAATCTTATCCCTGATTGAACCCAGCACATTCTCACATGCACTAGATTCCTCAAATTCTCACTCCCTAACCAATCATCCAATCACACCCCTTTCCTTTCAGTATTTAAACCCCCTTCGCACACCTTCCCATGTTCACTATTGAGAAGCCTTTTCATGTACAGTATTCTCCAGTGAGTGTTTCCCAAGCCTTTCAACTGGTCTCCTGTTATGAATCTTCTGCTTCTGCCTCTTGACTTTGTCTTCTGGATTTTGACTTTTGGATTGTTTTTTAATATCTCTCGTTACTGGACCCTCTGCCTCCCTTATTGACCTGTCCTTTGGATTTGGTCTTTTGGATTGTGCCTTTGTTACTGTGTTCTGTGGGATTCTGGTCACACATAAGGATCCTCCTATTCCACCTATAGGTTCCCTGACGGAGTGAGTGTGTCTCTGTCTGTCTGCCCTGTGGCAGACTGGCATCCTGTCCAGGGTGTATCCTACCTTATGCCTATTGACTGCTGGGATAGGTTCCAGCTCCCTTGCAACTCTGTCGAATGAAGCAGTTAGGAAATGGATGGATAGGTATGAAAATCAAGGCATGCTACCTCCTACACTTTATACAAAAAGTAATAATGGTTCAACATGCACATCTTTAGAATTTGTGAAAAATGTGATGCTGTTATTTTTAAAATGAGCTGTAAGCATGATGAAACATTAATATCCCAAATGCAGTACAAGTTTTGCTTATTAACACAAGAATATTAATAACAATTAATAATTGAGTGTTATTCATGCTAACTGTAGTAAAATCTATATTCTATGCAATAGTTAGATTTGAGTTTTACTTGGCCTGCTGATCACAAATTCTACATACAGAACGTCTGAAATATCTGCTCAAAGGTAATCAGTGGCAAGTGCCAAAAATAGTATGAATCCCTTGCCAACTACATATCTTAAAGATGCATTTGACCATTGGATGGTTTTCGTCCCTTGCCTTATCTTTAACAATTAAAGTCTGAAAGAGTAACCAGAAAACATGCTAGATTCTGGGTCTCATTGGCTATGGCTGCAATGGCAAATGAAACAGGACACTTTCCTTTAAATCTGACAAGGTGTTTTGAGCCATGTGATAGTCAATTTACCTCAGCAGGGCAGTACCCTCCAGCTGTCTTGTCATTTCCCATTTTACTTTTATTCAGCTTTCTGAAATGTCTTCAGATCCCATCTTTCCCAAAGGAGGATATTAAATAATCTCAGCCATGAAGATATAAAATGACATTAAAATACAGGCAGTATCCCAGTGGCCGCTTTAAAAATCCTTGTTCTTGATTCATATTAGTCATTTTCATGTTTTCTATGTTAACATTTTTAAATTTGCAGTAGTGTTGGCTTCTGTGTTGGTAGAACTGAGAAGAACAATTCAGAAGGACAATTAAATCTTGAAGCGATGGAAAGCAATAGTTTTCATTTTCAGGGTGGAAAAAAGTATTAAGTAATTCATGAAAACAATAAGAAAATACAAGATGCACTCCAGAATGGTCATAGGATTTATTGGCAAGAAACTCTCACCTAACATGTTTTGTTTAATTACGCCAATCATTTAAGACTTTCTGTAATGACCTTTATTAAGCAAAGAATAGGGAGGGGTCTTGCAGCAACAAATTCATAACCAATTAAACATGTCCCTGCCTTTAAAGTGCTTGATCTGGCAGTGAAAGACACTGATTATTCACATTCTTAAATTTGTAAAGGTTGATATATCCCCATGTCTTTCCAATGTAAATAACTGTAATTGAATGGTCACAATTCTTGACCTGCGAGACCCTTGTGACTTCTGGTTTTTGATCTGGCTGAGTTCTTAATCTGAGGCTAATTTCCATTAATTTTGTTTTCAGCTCTCAAAAATCGGAAATGTAACTGTTTTCAACCCCGAACCGGCTTTTGAGCTTTAGAACTCATTCAGGTGTGTTGGTTTAAATGTAACCGACTGGACAAAGAAGTGGAAAACACTTATTGTGGGAATGTGTGATCCCCTGTCATTCCCACCTGTGTCTTTTCATCACAAATTCATCTCCTGTTAAGAGCTGGTAAGACAGAAGTAAGTGAATCAACAGTTAATAAACATCTTGTTGAGAGGCTGCCTTACAGAATAAAAAACAAACTTGTATCTCAGAGTGCAGAAACAGGTAATCAAGGATTTAAAAAATCAGACCTATTGAAGGCATAACTTCGCTACAGTTGTTACCAACTCCATAACTTTGAGTTCATAAAGAACATTTTAGTCAACAGCACTTCATGTAGGTTAAAATTAGAGCTTTGATGCACTTTAATCTATTATGGTACATCTATTCTATATCTGTCAAACGTCTGTTTGAATGAGAGCACAGTATTACAGTACACACTGAAAAGACAGAAGAGTTTTCAAACCTTTATTTACTGCAAATATATACGTTCTTCATAACTGTTTCTACAGTTTGTGTTGCATGCTTTTCCCTGTTCCCTGAACAAGGTAAACATTTATTATCCAGATGTTTAGATGTTTGAATGTTTGAATGTCTTTAAAATATAGTACTTAATGTACTGTACAAGCTCTTTCAAGAATTGCCCAGTTCAGAATGAGTGTAAAATTATTTATATTCTGTGTGCCTTTATTTTTTATTTTAGTTTTAAAAAAACTAATACAGATATTTTAAAACTACATTTTAAAATTCATCTGTAACTGTTGTAAAAACCCAGGCCTTTCTTTTTAATGTTGTTTCTGATGGAGGCTTACACAATTTTTCAACCAGCGTCACACAAAGTCAAATCTGATGCCTGGAGCTCCCTTTGAATCAGTTCAGAAATGGTGGACAATAACAAGCCAGTAAATCCACCTTCTTTATTTACCAATGTTAGCAAGTACTACTGCTCCAAAATGCTTCAGGTTATAGCTCTCCAGTTACTCAACACCTGGCACTTGTTAATTTTCCTAACCCATTTATTTTTATTATGTCTTTTATTTAAATAACACTCCTTTAAAGTAAATATACAGCTTGGTATGTGAATTATTTCTATGGTCAAGCTGTGTACATTACTTTGTAAAAAAAAACATATTCCTCCTATGAATGTTTTCACCAAAAAGCAGACCTCTTCATTGTTTTAATAAAGGAATGAAAGTGTTATTAATGCCTATTATCAGTTTTAGTCCTGATTTCAGGGCAACTTCAAACACCACATTTGCTCCATGTTGGGACTACATTGGAAATAGTGCACGGAATTCCAGCAGGAGTAATTTACTGGGTTTAATAGGCAAGACACTTGTGTAATGTACATGCAGATGAGAACTACATTTAAAATTAAATATCAACTGAATTACTTTACTTGTACTTCATGCAACTCAAAATGTTATTTTTAATATAACTGGAATTTTATGGATTGAATCCATAACCAAACAGTATAACTTCAATTGAACATTGCCAATTTAAACACAGATCCATGTTTCACATGAGCAAACAGGTAGTAATATGAAAAAATAACAACAGAAGTGTGCCAGAAAGGTATCACTTTAACATTGCTTCCCACACATGTACTGTATACCTCAGGTTTTCAGTTCCGAAATGGACCTTTTGGACAGTTCGAGAGCAAATGTCTTTTTAGTTTTTAATTAAAAAACTAAAATCTTCCAACTTAAGGGCAGCCCTGCTCCAATATTTGTACTCGCCAATTCTCAAGGGGTAGGTGGGAAGATTAATAAAACATCTTAAATAAGAGTGTCACCGAAATAACCGTAACAATATTAAATATGTACAAAATCTACATACAATAGCTACCCTATTTTGTTTCTTGACAGACTATACAGTATATAGCTTTTTTGGAAACAAAGGAAGTTCCTGTAGTGCGAGTTTCAAGGATGCTGTAGCTTCTCATGTCGGCAGGACAGTTTTAAAGGGGATCTCGTGACACCATTTCGGCGATAATGTCTATGACGTTGTCCAGACCCCAGAGGTATCCGTCTTCCCTATTCCCTTCCTCCCAGGCTATTCGGTGGCTCAAGACCTGCCCCTCTGGCAGGGGAGTCGTCTTGCCAAAGTCTATCATCCACACCTTGGCCTGTTCTCGCTTATCATGGACAAAGAGAAGGGAGCTTCCAATGACCTGAGAGAAAGCACAAAAACAAATGACATCGTGCCTGAGATATCAACAGCCTTTAGTGATGCTACATGGGCAAAATATAAGATGAAGAGCCACAAAATGAAAGGTTCCTGCTGCTCTAATGCTGGCCTAGAAAACACCAGAAAATTGGCTGAAAGAGTATCAAATTATGTTTCACTTATTTCTGGAAATCTAAGGATATTTTTTACATTGACAGCTGTACCGTTACAGGCTTTCAGAGAGTTGACTCTGGTGATACAGTGCTGGAGGACTATATGTTTTTATTATTTGAAAGTTTTTGTTTTTTGTTCCGTGAATTGACTTTATGGGGAAGAAAGAGAACAGTAATATTATAGCATTTAATTAAAGGATCTGAAGTGCCTTGCTCTACATAGCAGAAGTTTCTGAACTTTGCCTGCATTTTCAGACATTTTGTTTACTTTGATCCAGTAATGATAAACACAATTCATTTTAAACACACACATTGTTCTTTAACAAATGAGCACTTCAAGTGTCAAGTAAATACAGAATACTACATACTGAATATGCACACATAATAAGGCCTGCTGTGAGAGATTTACAGCATTATCACCTGTGTTTTTTCTCATAATAAATAAAAGAAAGTGCAATGCAGAGGGCCTTAGTTTAATGGTTCTAGTCGGCATTTGACTATAACTATTGCTAGCATATCAAGGCCATTGTGATGGGTCTTACAACAGAGTCTTAAGAATAAGAATATGGAAAAATAAGAAGGCTAATAAAAAGAGAATAAATATGAGCATAAAAAAGGATTTTCTTTCTCTTTTTGTAACACAAACTGACAATGTAATAAAATAAACAATGTTTTTCTCGCCTGAAGAGAAGAAATAATCTCTAGAACAAACAGGATTTCAAAGTTTTCAAAAGGGATATTGAAAAGCAGATAACTCGCTTGGTGTCACTCTTTAAGAGAGCAGGAGACACCACTATTCTGTTACACATTACTGTGATATAAAATCCCCACTCTATTATTGCATGTGGAAAGCATGCAAACATTATTATTTCCATTTGTAAGGCAAACAAGGCCTGTAATTAATAAATCAGATGTTATTCATTATTGCATTGTTAGTTAAGTACTTCTCCATTACAGTTTCCACATTCTAGCTTTTTACAAAAGACCTCTACAGAAAAACAAAAAATAATTTATAACCACAAAGGGAAATACTAATACTAGGTCAGGTTTCCAAATGATAGTAGTAACTATTTATCACATATACAAAGACTTGTTTTATGTACTTTACAGAAATGGTAATGTAATCGTGATCAATCAAACTCATGTAATAATTGCTCTGTATGTTTCTTTTAATATAAAGATGGTATGTACAATATATTTTTTCACATTAGTACAGGCTCATCTCAGAAAGTCATTGTGTGTAGTCTTAGAGTTGCAGGAGTATCAGATTGATAAGTTCAAACACATACAATAGTACAGTATGAACCAGTTGACCCGTGAGACTTGGAAGGCTTAAAGCACGAAAAAGCAATTTATGGACCATATGGATCAAATTCCACCACCCATGCAAACTGAGAGAAAGAGAAAAATATATGTACATAAATCTTCAGATGAATATAACCAAGCTGTAGCTCAGTGGTGATTTCATTTTTTTTTCTCACACAGTGTGCTGTGACAATTTTCGTTCTTCAGGAATACTATTAATTTACGTAAGAGTTGAGAAGCTGTTATGGTCAAATCATTCGAACAGCCACTTACATGCCACAGCTGTAGCAACTGGCGCCAAACACCACTGCTGTGGCCAAATGAAAACTGCATGCAGTTTACTTCAAAATAATACTTCCATCTGGATCTAGAGAAGGGGCTTTTTGAGCCCACTTATAAGAAAATATTTCCTGGCAGTACTCATTATGACTGACAATGTCTGCTGCTTTCACACAAAAGAGCGAAAAGGCCATCTGCTTGCTTCTGCAGACAATTTCAAGCTGCAGCTGTGCTTTCAGAAAGACACCCTTTTACTTTCTCCTGCTTTCTCCAGAGTTAATAAATGTGGCTTATCCTTCAATTTGAAATGACATATGACAGTGTTTGAAAAGCAAGATTTATCTTAATGCTTATTAGCTAATGCTACAGCTCAATCACACTTCCTGCTTCTTTTAAAATTACCTTTGTCTTTTCTGTCACCCATTGACTGCACAAATACTCTCAGTTCTTTAATATAAATATTACACCATCTACTGACTGCACAAACACTTGCATAAAAGATACATTTTGAACTTTGTAGTTTTGGAACACTGTTTATACGGTAACTACTGTATGTTCACCCATTTTGTACAATCAGATATAGATTAATAAGATCCTTTTCATTAGATTTGTTTCTTTGGATGTTCTTTATTGAAAGTGAACAGGCATGTTGTTATAGTTATTAGTGAATTACCAAATGTGATATATGAAGATGACACACTAATCCTAACCCAACTTTCAGCTTGGTCCAGTTTATTTGTATTTACAATAGCTCAGCAAATCTGTTTCAGGTGCTTTTCACACATGTAAAGAATTCCTGCCCTTACCAGAACAATGAAAGTTAAAGTGTACATAAATTCACCCAGCACCTAATGCAATATAATTTCTTAAGCCCCAGTGAAGCACCACATAACCATAAACTATGAGATCAGTGAACAACAGGTCTTGTACTCATTCTTTCATAGTTCTTCTTTTCAAAATGTCAATATTTGTTCTAGCATTATCATCAATTTCCCTATGGGATTAATAAAGTATTATCTATCTATTAAAATAGTTCTTATAGTGGACGTTTAGCTTATTTGTTTATTTTGCCATTTTCCTAAACCAAGGACAGAAGAATGGTATTTTTTTAAATATAAATGGCATACTTTGATAATTATAAGGCTTAAAGTAACTATGGGAAAAACCATTACCTCGTGTGTTTTAAAAAATGATGACTGTTCCAAAGCATCCTTTACTTTGTTTAGTCGTTCAAGATAGGATTTCTGGAAAAAGGAAAAATAGATGCAGATGACAAGCATTAGTTTTTGTTCTAATTATTTGAGGTAGTCTGTCAACAGCCATAGAACGTCTCTTGTTGTACAATTCTACCACTGCTAAAATTAAACACAGCAAGATGGAACCTCATAACTTTGTTAACTACTGAAATCTAACTATATATACATTCTAAAGAAAATAAACATATCTCATACTTTTCAAAATATTAAAATGAGTTATCCTATTTTGCAAGGTTTGCTATGGTCACTCCATCTAATGGCCATTAAAGGGAAGAATATAAAGGACAGGAAACCATAAATATGAAAAAAGCACCAGTAAGGGTACATGTTTAGAAATTCAGAGAAAAATATAAAATTCCTTCACCAACTCCATAGCCTTTGTATCAAACTGAAGTTGCTGTTTTCAGAGGTTAAAAAACAAAATATCTTTGGTTCAGGTGGTTACTTTGCAAATCATCTACAAGGATTCAGTCTGATGGGCCTTTTAGGAACCAACAGTTGAATATGAAGCCAGGTGTCATGAGTGGAAACATGAGTGGGAACTGCACAAAGGGGTAGGGGCATCTAATATAAACTACACAACCTATTGTGTATTGTCAAAACTGACAGTCCAGTCTCTTGAAAGAAACAGCTGGACGAGACTCTTGGGCCTTAATTTGTAATAGCAAACAAACAAGCTACTGTAGTTCAGGTGGATACCTGTGTCAGCATGCATAGACTGCAAAGGAACAAGTAATAGGTTTATTCCATGCTGAAAAAAGAAAACACAATGTTTCAGCCGTGGAGCCTTCACACCTGAAGAAGGCTCCACGGCTGAAACGTTGTGTTTTCTTTCTTTTTTTTTCAGCATGGAATAAACCTATTACTTGTTCCCAAACAAGCTACTGTACATGGACCGACTGGCCTCCTTTCATTCATAAGATGTTTATGTTCTTACAAAGTCATAAACCATAAACCAGCTGAAGGTAATGACAAATCACCTCCCTGTGTGACCACATGCTGTGCTGAACAGTTTTATTACAACTTGTAATGTCCTTCACAGGTAGCACATGGTGTTCAGCAGCTTAGTAGATCTATAAATTTAAGAAACATCCTTTTCTTCTCTTCACAGTGAGGGAAGTCCTTGGGAACTCCCTCTCATTCTTGGCAGTGATTCAGAGCAGTCATGCGTCACAGGCAGGGGATTTCAGACTCACCAGGATATTCTTGTTTCCCTTGACAAAGTCTCGGAAGGCCTCAATCACTTGCTCCCTACTTTTTGTCTTCTTGAAGTCTCTATTTACTGTCCCATCTTCCTTCTGCGGGGCAAAAACAAAAAAAGGAAATCCTTCGATAATATCACTAGCATATAAACTGATGCAGTCAAATAAAATAGTACTTTGTAACCTCAATGGATCTACTGTAAGTAGTCACGTTAACAGATTATTAGTTTCTTTGGTATAGATTTTATGAGCTGCTTAGTGGTTTAATATTAGATAGCAATTGCCATACAGTATGTACACTGGAAATGTAAATAATTTTTGTATGAATGATCACTCTCCTCTTTGTCTCAATGCTAATTTAAGATGTCCCATTCATTTCATTATGGGGTCAAGCATGCACAGGATGTCCCAAACACCTGTGGACTTTGACTCATCCAAACAATGAACAATCTGATCAGCAGATGCTGTTGATGTACCATGTCAGGGTGAAGTAAATTGATTGTCTACTGACATCACTGGACCTGCTTATCATTAAGGTCCATCAAAGCCACCTAGGGAGGTTAAGACTTTAGGCAGGGAAGTTGAATGATCTTCACTCACAAACATTTCTGAGCCATCTTGAAAAATATTTTTTTTCTGAAGAAGGGAAGTGGCTGAGAAATTCTGTTTCAAAATGAAAAGCTTCAGTATATTCTGATGAAAACCAAGAACCCAGTGATGAGTGCAATCTAGGATTTAGCCACATTAACAAGCGTTGTATGTCATTAATGTGCTTTAAACAAGACCTTTATTTCTCTGCAACAATTCCATTATCCAATTTTTGGATGGCTTAAGCAAAGCAAATTACAGAAAATTGATGTCATGCTGACTCTAACTGGAAATTGCAACACTGCAACACTTGATTGTTTGGGAGCACATAATGCCAAAAAGATCCCCTGTCGTTAGCCAAGCTTATGGAGATGATCAGTGCTACTATATGCCATTCTACAGCTGGCCCCTGGAGCCCTGATTTATTTATTTCAGAATCACAACAAGAAAAAAGCTACTAGCTCAAGAGCTAGTCTTTCACAAGACAAATGTTAAAGAGAAAGGAGGACTGACTAGTCCTAGGATTAGGTAGGCAGGACCAGGGAGGAGGACAGCATGGTAGCACAGTGGTTAGATTTACTGCCTTGCAGCACTGGCATCCTATGTTCATTTCCAGTGGTAGTATCTATATAGAGTTTGTATATTCTCCCTGTATTCACATGGACTTTCTCTGATTACTCCATTTTCCTCCCACAGTCCAAAAAATGCTGGTAGGTTAACGGGGCCCTGTTGTAGGTACTGTATGTGCATGTCTGTGTCTGTGGGTGTCCTGCAGTGTACTGGCATCCTGTCCAAGAGGCTCCTGCTCCCCCGTGATCTTGTACTGGATAAAGCCATTAGAAAATAGATGGATGGATGGTAACAACGGCATATTACAAACTCCTGTACAAAAACAAAGGAAAATGCTGTTTTGTTCTGGATTTTGATATTTGAAGGATTCATTTCTTTTATTGAGGATCTACTGAAAAGCCAAAAATAAGATTCCAGTCCTCTATACTGTAATAATTCCCACCGCAATAAAGCAATAAAATAAAGCTGAATAAACAAAAACTATTTCAAGTGCCTAAGTAGAGAATTCCTTAAGGGGCAATAGAGGAAAAGGTTCATACACACTAATACATTTACAAGTCTTGTGGATTTTATCATAGCCTTTAATCTTTAATTAAACTTTAATCTTACTCTAATCCTTAGGTCAATAAGGTCTGCATTGATGCAGTGACCAGATGAGTACAGATGAATGCTCATTTGTAGTCTAACGACCTCAAGCTGTGTATTTTTGAAAGAGCTGTCAGTATATTTATTTTATCCTTTTAGAACTGGATGTTTAGATTTAGATGTACAAAGAACCGAATCTTTATTAATGACAGTTATTTTTAGAGTCTTAAGACCTTCCGCACTGTACATTTTTTTGTTACTTCGTCTTCCTCATTACAGTGGACCATGTAACACAGACAGGCACTATGTAAGCACTGGCCAGACTTACAGGCACAAAGCCAGCTGTAAAATCTTTAAACTCTATGCAGAGGTTTCCCAAACTCTACTTCTCCAGAAGGTAACCTCGATTCTTTTTGCCCCAGATTAAGAAAGGTTGAACTTCTGTGGGTTCACCACTCTTGGGATAATGAGCTTGCACTCCATATACATC